ATGCATCAATATACACGAGCTGTACACAGCTCCATTTCTTCCTCCTCTGAGACTGGAAGCTCAGAAACTCTCCCCATACCTGGCACAGAGCTCTTGTAGAGAAGAATTCAGAAACAAAATCTGCTTTAGTTTTAATAACATTAGCTTAAATATGGGAGTTGAAAAACTGAAGCAAGTCATGTTCAGCTTGTGTCACAGCTCCCTGTGCCAAGTGCACTCTTCTGCATTAAATGCAACCCCTTTCGTCCATTTCCACCCAAGTGACTGGGTACCTGGGACACTGACCTTGGGGTCAGTCCCAAAGCAGCTTAGGAGAGCAGGGACAGCAGACCAGAGGAACTACCCATAACTAAATCAAGATTTGTTCTGGAGAAAGTCAGGGGCCATCTCACACCTACCCTGCAGGAATGGATTCCCTAAAGAACAAAACACAGTGAAGGAAGATATCAGAAGCAACAGTAGTATCTACAAACATATACAGGAAAAATTACAGACTAAAAGTGATTGACAGTACATTATTAGAGATGCTTCTCTTAACCCATGGGCACTTTGGATTTTTCTGGTCTTTTCTACTTTAGCTGGGCTTTCCTTTGAACAGGCAGCAAGGATTTTCTTGAGATATTACAGACCATACTATATGACCATTCTTTCATGGATCAAACTGTACAACATCATTTATTCTAACATAAGAGATTTTTCTATTATTTCTTTCATGCCTGAACTCCCTTATATTTTTCATTCACATTCACTGTTCCATGACTGTTGTTTTTCCCTCTTCTTTTCAAGCCCACCAATTTTCTGATCCCCTTTTCCACCCTCTTGCCTCTTACCCATGTCCTGTCTTAGCATTCTTTAACAGTTCACATATGACTTAGCTGCCCTTTCTTCTATTCCAGACTGTTCTACTCATTTCCATCCAATCTTCTCTATATCTAGCATACTCTTTGCCTCCAAATAGTTGCTCTTTTGCCCCGCATTCTTGACAGAGCAGTCCTCTTACATTCATAATGGTGACAGTTATGACAGTGGAGGCTAACTAATAGAGCCTTCCATTTTCAGCACTGGAAACAAATATTCTTTTCTCTTCCAACTGCTCCTTCTGTGTACATCTTCTGCTCACCACTTCTGGTGCAGGTACTCCAAGTCATTTACAGCTTCACAACTTTTATTCTTGCACAGGGATAATGTTTGGGAGATAAACATAAATGGCTGACCCCAGAATATTTTAAGATGTTCTTTTTTTCAGCTACCTTCAACTGAAGTGTTAGATACTGTCAGATGCTTTATCTTAATGTTGTCACTGACAAGAAAATTCCTTGCATGCATTGTTCAGTGCCAGGAATTTAGAATTTCTGCAGCAGCCCAACCATAAACAATTAAATCCTTGCATTCAAATGTATAACTTCTATTTCAGTTACAAATTTGCAGAGACAGCTCTCATGATTCCTAAATAAGTTGTTCTCACTTATGCGCTGTTTGTGTGCAGGCCAAATAATCCACTGCTTAGTTAGCACTGTGTGGAGTTGGACCTAGATGGCCTTCATGAATTCTGGGCTGTTAAGACTTCTTTCAGCTAAATTTACATTCTAGACACTGAAAGCTTCCCCAGTTCTCCTATTTCACTGCTCAACCCACTTTCCTGACAGCCAAATGTTCTTGAAGAACCTTTTTCTTCCCCAGTCAGATATCCCTAAATATTCTCTTCAGTATCCCCACTACTCATGAGTCACCCAGATATCAAAAGGCCGTTGGCCCATCTTTCTCCTAGTGTCACTTTCATCTGCAAATGCCTTTGATTTTTCATTATGGTTCTTTTATATCTTATGGCCCTTCAGATTTTTCTCCAGTATCTCTCAGTTTACTGTTTTTCATAGACAATATTTTTCCTTCTTTTATACATCTTCAACAATGCAATTAAATGTAACTACAATCTTTCACTTAGCAAGTGTCATTAACTGTAAACACATTTAATATTTACTCTTAGGATACGTAGCTTGAATATATTTATAACCTTAAAATTATCTCTTTTTTATAGTAGATACAGTCAAATGAATTAGGAAAGCTTAATGTTTTTTTTTGTTGTTGTCAAATACCAAATCATATTGCCTGGAATGCACTTCATAGCCTACGAATTTCCTTTTTACTTCATTTATTATAAATCATTCCTGAATGATCAGCCCAACAATTTGAGAACTTAGTCAAAAAAGTGACTTCATGTAAGTTTTTCTCAAGTAAACAAACCAAAATACTACTCAAAGAGATTGCCTTGTTTCCCATGAAATCAATCTTAGAAAAGGTTTTTAAGATCACGACAAAAAATGCCAAGTCCTTTGCTTGAGTAAATCACAAACCCTTGTTCTTTAGGACAGCCTTATCCACATAGGTATTATTCTATATAGATATTGTTATATATAGGTATTGTTCCATATTCCATCTTTATATAAGTTTTATCTTAATAATTTTGCTTTTAGGTATAACTTAACTTGCCCACTTTCTAATTGATGAAAGAGGAATAATTTTTTCTTAGCAGTATACAGAAAGTATAAAAATGACTTACGGTGCTACTTTCCAAGTAATCTGCTATAAAAGATAATGCTTAGGACCAGGAAATGTGCATTGTAGTTACTACATGTAAACCATTTACAAGTTTATGCACACCAAATGGAACAGATGCTAACCTCAAGCATACCAGCATAAAATCTTTCCAAGCAATAACAAATGCTTATCTATTGCAGCAGAAAGTGGAACCTCGACCAGAAAGCTCCAATAAATCCTTTCATTTATCAGTAGAAATATTGCTATGCACAATGCAATATACATTCCCCCAAATTACATTTTACACCAAAAGCATTAATGACAGTTTAACCATATGCTTACTTTTTGAGACATTCACATTACATAAGTCAGGAAACTTTATTAGAAGTTTGGGGTTTCTTTACATCTCATTTGATGAAAAATAGAAGTCAAACGCAGATTCATCCAATGATTTTCAGCAGTACTCAAGTGAAAATCATTTTTGTGAATATTATTATGTAATGCATGATTTTGAATAATCTGTATTCTTATGGTGAACCTTTGTCAGTACATGAACCAATCTAAATGTCCATCATTGCTTATTTTTGTAATTTCAGCATAAATACTTAAACCACAGAAAAGTAAAATAGGATATGAATTTGAAGCACAACATGCTAGTATTTCTAATATTGACTTGGAAGAGAGTTTTGGTAGTTGGCTATATTCAACAGCATCTTTGCAAGTTCCTTCAAACTGAAGTGAGGTATCAAAAAAGGAGATGCCCGTTATTGTCTGTATGTTCCTTTTAATATAACTTTTAAAAGTTATGAAAATTATTAGAAAATGTTCCTTTTAATTAGTCAACTAACACGGCTTTCAAGAGTGGAAAATAACTACAGAACTACCCTAGAAAAAATGTACACCTGAATCATAACACAGACCTGGATGAATTTTATTCTAGGACTGAAAAGAAATAGGCTGTACTAAAATTAATAATGCTAGCACTTCCACAATCCATTTGAGATGTTGCCTTTTCCACCCCCCCCTTTTTTTTTTAAACATACTTTTATTGTATGTGCTACTCAGGCTTAGAGGAAATGCAATCTCTTCTGTTTCTTGGCACTTCCTTTTTATTAGCATTTGCAAAAAGTGTTGACCATGAAGTCCTTAAAAATAATATCTTCCATTTGTCCGTGGGTCACGTAAACACAAATGCTAAAAGTTACATCATATAAGTGTTTTGTTTGTTTTACAAGCATCCTTGTAAAGGTTAAGAGTACTTTATTCACCAGTGCATTTCAAGGGTGCTTTTAATAGCTTTGAAGCACATGGTAAAAGCCAAACACCTTTTAAACGCTTTCTAGAAAATAAACTGAAAAACATATTCATTAATAAAAAAAACCAAGGACCAAACATATGGTGACCACCGATCAGATATGAGACCCATTTATAATAGGAATTCTCATCCACTTGGAAGCGGGTAAGTTAAGTTTCATATAGTCTATTAAATAAAAATAACTTCTGACTTAATTGCATGGACTAGATTTGAATTTGTGATCAATACTACATTTTACCACTTAAAAAAATCCCAGTTATTTACTTTCCCTAAACAAAATTTTGCAATATTCTGCTGCAGACTTTGAATGATATAACTCTTCAAAGAGTTTTCCTTTGAAAGAAGTCAAAGCCAGACTTGTTCCATTGCCAGGGTGAGGGAAGGAGCAAGCAGCAGAGAGAGTGCTTATGGAGGAGAATATCACAAGTTTTATGTGACCAGAAGGTTAGACTGATGCTCTCTTGAAAGAAATAGAGATGGAATGATGGAGGTGTGCTGACCCTGCAGGAACCAAAATAACTTCTAGCATTTGAACTACTTTTTAGAAGCTCTCACACAGTATCGTTCACATGCTCCTGTTCAGTTTTACTGGCATATATTCTGGGAAGTTGTAAAAGTGGAGGGAACAGCTTCTCTCTATACATGAGGATACCATCATGTACATTTCTTATACTCAATTAGACTTTATGCTGGGGTATGAAGAAAAAAGCAGAATTCAGCATTCTTTATCACACAAGGGTCTGACTTCAATCTGATAGCATCACTTACATCTGCGTCTTTCCTCTGTCAGCACTATTAGAAAATGTGCTCAAAGTCATGAAAGTAAGCGATGCTAATGGTAGGTTAGTGTTTGGAAGGCTGTACTGTGAATCTCTAGGGACTGGCTGAACAGCACCAATAAAATTCTCTCTGAACAATAAAGAAGAAACTACAAAAGCACTTCATACATTGCATTTTGGGAAAGTATAAAAGTATGAATTTTAATATCTCTAAGCATAAAGTTGAAGGACTTGGGCTTGACAGAGAATTACACTTGCAGATTAATTTTACCTTAGTCCCAGAAGTAACTATGTGATCACCTCTAGGTAATAACTGTATATTAGCATGCTAGAATTTGAGAACTGGAAAGAAAGGCAAGCTTACCTTTTTTCCTCAGCATAGTCTTCAAGAAAATGAAAATAAGACTTCATATAATTTTTATTGAAGTGTTCTCACACACCACTCAATCCATCCTTAAAATAATAACAGTTGCTACTCAGGATAGCAAGTTTTATTTCCTTTAGTACTATAGGTAGAAAAGAGACATTTCTTCAGGCAATCACAGAAAATAATTTCCTGATTTAAAAATGAAAATGGTCTTCTTAGCATTTTCACCAAGTAGAATATCTGAACAGAGTATAAAACTGCCATATGAATTAGAAAATATTGTCCTTCAGCTAGCAAATAAGCTGTCCTTCATGCTGTGAAATACGAATCACAGAAAGGAGGGTTTTACAGAAAATCTATACTCTTGGGCAGCTCAGTTTTTTGCTTTATACAGGAAATATCAATTTCGTAGATCAGATTTAACAATAATAAATAAATCTAATTCCCTTAGAAGTCCACATCCCCTTTGTGTTACCTTGGATGCAGCTGAGCTGTTCAAGTCCATCAGTGCTGCCCCAAAAATCACGTTAAGGGATTACCCTGAACTTGCTGAAGGTGAGTGCTTCTGATGGTGAAATGGTGCCAGCTCTTCCATCATTCCTGATTATTCATGCTTCGAACAAAACATAAGAACCAAAAATTACTTATTTTCCCCTCTTGTTTGCTGCCTGTATCTCCTTTATAGAACTTACTTTACACAGTCATTGACATCTGAGAGTAGGATCAATTCCTGAAAGAATAAAAGCACTGAGTGGACAGAAAGGGAAATACACATGAATCTGATAATGAATTTCCTGTAAACTATCTCTGCTCGGTGCAATTGAAGCAGTTGTATTCTAGGTTTACCTAGAGCTAAACTCTCACAAATGCAACTACAGTCTTAACTAGAGTCACTATAATGACAAATAAAACCAAAACAGTGATATAGTTCCAATACAAATCACAAAACTCATTACAGTCTTCCATTTGTTTCATGCCAAAGCCTGAAAACACAGCAAGTAAATGAAACTCTTCCAATCATATGACTGATGTAAATTCAGTTAACACAGTATAAAATGGAAATTATAAAGACTTCAAGACACCCTAAACATCAAGTGCAATTTTATTTCCTGAAGCAATGCTGCCATCTTGTGAGACAAATATTAAAAAAAAAAAATCAAAAATTTATTTTCTATCCTAAGTGATTCAGAATTTGAGACACAGAGGTAAGGAATCAACATCGATGTAAACTGGAAAGTCACCCAAGCCCAGAAGACATGTTCTCTTCCACCACACAAAGCAGAGAAGAGCAATGCTGTCAAAGAACTAAGAATTCTTAAAAGCAAGCCTTGCCTCCAGTTAATTCCGAATGCAGAACATTCAACATTGCAATGGTAAATTCAAAACTAAGAGAACTTGCATTTCAGGTAGGAATGAAAGCAAAAGAACTATGTGCTGCCTGTGTTAGAAGTCAGTCAATTCCACTTCCCTTCATTATGCAATGGATTTTGTATGATCACATGTTTATTTCAGTTCTCAAATTTAGTTATATCCATCCTTGACATTGTGGATGATGGGACTGAGAGGAGGTTAAGAGAACAAATATAAGTATTTACTACTAGTCCCTTTTAGTGATGTTTAAATTCCTTATGAAACAAAATAAATGGGGACTATTCCTAGCACATATGTTTCACTTGCGACTTCTCACCAGGAAGCCAGGCTATGGACCAACAACACTCATTTATATCTGCCTCTAATTCATAAGCACACACAGATTTTAAGAAAAGAACAATGACCACCTACAAGTGGTTGAATTTAATAGCATGGACTAAAGCAATGCTAACTGTTACCACGCTGAGTAGAACTTTCTAATCATGGTTTTTCCGGCTGGAAAGGTCACTTCAACCAATGTTACACACCTTCAGCAGGAATCTGCTGTACTTTCGTTTTCTCTGTTTAAAATCTGTAATGTACAAAAAGAAAATTAAAAGCATTATAATGAACACATGCCACAGAGCCTGCACATGTATTCAGCTTTCACCTGCAAATACCAAAAAACTCTTAAGATTAATTTTGTAAGCATAACTAAAGATTTGAATTCTAGAGAAAAAGAAAAATGCTTGCTCTTCCTGATTGCAAAATCCGTGCCTTTTTGCAAACATCTTTACATCAGAAACAGCTTTATGCTATTTGGGTTTACACTTTAGCAACAGGCAGCAACCTCTCCTTTCTCCCTCTATGGAAATTTGTTAAAATAATTTACAGGTGTTACTAAAATGAAACTCTTCCCTTCCAGTTAAAATAACTGGCTAGTAGACAGAGGAATACTGGTTTCCACATCACTGCAACACCATATTTGTTCTTGCTTGCTGTCTTACAGCTCTGGATCTTTATTTTTTCCCTTTGAAATACAGTATAAAATAAACTTGCTGTGTAGATTTAAGTAGCACAGCTTTTTATACAAATTTAAAATGTTTTGATATCTTAGAATGAAAAGCAGCACAGCCTCAATTAGCAGACATTTTGGCACTTACTAGTTGAAGACTGTGTGTTACACATTTATTAGCTCACATCACTACCCCAGCACAATTCACGTGAGCCAAGAACACCATTTCTTCTTCCCTCATCCCCAGGAAATGGGCTGAGGGAAAATCCTATTCTATTTCCCAAAGACAAGCTCCTTGCTAGAAAACTGTAGACCAGAAAAATCTAATTGTAAGTAATTAGACAATGTTTTTGTTGTCCAAATCAGGTTGTTTGAATTCACAGCAGGATCTGATCTTAATAATTACTCAGAAGCATACTCAGTCAGGAGGCATTCTACTTGCTCCTCATTAAAATACAGTGCATTCTGTTCACTAAACAACACACCTGATTTTGTGACTTCCATATATCCAGTGTCTGCAGTCTCAAAATCCTGTTTTCATTTATTGTCTGAACCACTGCCTAAAACCATGTTTAATGATAGATTAGAACATATTATCTCTCTCCTTCCTCTATTACCCTGGATTCATGGATAACAGACCCTGAATCTTTTGATGCTCTGCATCACCATTGCAATCCTTGTTAATATGAATGTGTCTGACCTAGGAATAGAGCACGTAAAGGGAGAGAGTAGAGATGAGGTATCCTCATGCATACATGTCAGCTATACTGTAGAAAAAAAAGTGCTTATTATGTTTCCTGATATTGGTTATCTGAGAACTTCGGATTTTTATCTATTTTTGGGGTCTGAGAGCTTCTAAAAAAGATGACTCAGCAGAGGTATCTCACAAAGCAGTCTGTCAACATTGAAAGTTCCCTCCCCCCCCCAGATCTTTGATCTGATTTTTCTGTGCATCTCACCTCTGAGTGAGTTTGCTGTAATTTATTTCACCTCTTCAATACACCTGAGCTTACCTTGCTATCTTGGACCAACTAGAAAATAGTCAGAACCATGGATGCAGATGCCATGCCTGCTTGAACAAGTGGATCTTCCGTTAAGTATAAGATTTCTGTTATGTTACACAAACTCACATATTTGAGCAGACCAATCAACTCTCCACTGACAATCCTATCTTCAGAAGTGGTTGGAATCTGCAGAGTCCCTTCAAAAGAAGGAAAGGATAATTGTTTTTATTCCCACTCTCCACCATTCCCTTTGCAGCCTCCATCTGTTCATCAGCCTTGAGAAACAGCCTCCTAGAAGTTCCACCCAGCTGTTACAGCTTAGACTGCCTAACTGCTCCAAGCAATGCCAGAAGCTGGGAGCAGCTGTACAAGAACTGTGAGAGGTCTGGGTTACAGAAAACTCTTCAGAGCTGATGTGAGCTTCTGACACAAATTCTGAAGTCAGATTTCTCTTCTTTGCATACAGTGAACTATATGACTCTATTTGAAGCAAAAGGGGAATGAAGAGACAAAGTTACTTGCACTGTTATAAAATCCTACCTCTTCTTTGCTCAAAGCCTTTTTTCTCCCTCTTTTAAGCAGCTACAGTTACAGTTGGTTGGTTGTTGTCAAGACATACAGAAGAGCCTACAAGCTGTACTCCAAATATCCAGCATGCTTGCAGACAGCAGCATCTACTGCCAGTCTCTTAATCCATGAAGAAAATTCAGACTACCTACCTGTTTTTTATTCTAGCTGGATTTCCAGTATCAGCAAAATGAAAAAAAAAAAAAAAAAAATCACATTCTAAAAGTAAAATTGTTTTTTGAAAGTGGAAGAATTCTTAATACAAGACTTTTGCAAGAGAGCAATTAAGCATTTTTCAGTAATGTAAGTCAGCAAATAATAGTGTCTGTGTAATTTAAGATACAGCTTTTACCCACCCAAAGTAATGACTAAGAAAGTACAATGAAAAATTAAAAAACAAAATGCAATTTACAATTTTGACAGCTAGGCCCCTCAACAACATCGAGTCCTAGAAAACTCTTTCTTTTTTTTCTTGATCTATTCTTCACACTTCAAGCTGGTGCCACATACTGAACTGCTTTTTTTTCTTTTGTTACCATTCCTAGGTGCAGCAAATATCACTGTTCAGCAAGTAAATATTTTTAATACATACAGTGAAATACTTCAAAGTAAAAAAATGTTAAAAGGCCTTAGCAAATAAGCAAAGCCAAAAGAAAACTCCTAGTACTTCTAGTTTGGGGGAAAATGTAGGATATTCTTTACAGTTTCTCTGCAACAGTAGGGAAGCTACAGATCATTTCACCTATACAAGAGGTATGTAGAACAAATTGGTTGGTACTGGGGATTTGGCACCCACAGACTACATGCATTTAAAAGACTACTTCACAAAGTAATCCAGAGAGTAAGTAGTAATAACTAGGAGTTTTACTTCAAAAGCACATTCTTGATCTGAACTGAAAAAATACAAGCACTCTGCATCTGGTAGCAATTTAGAATGTGAAGTATGGGAAAAGAAAATATCTTTGTAATACTCTTGTTCAGTCCCTGCATCTGATTCAATTGCACAAGAATTAGATGGGAAAATGAAAGCGACTTTACATGGAAAAGACTATATGGATGCTCCTGTTGTTAACTGAGTTTTCATCTTTCCCACTGTTCACTTGAACATGGTACTAAATTATTGAAATTATCCCCATGAGAAAGAAGGGATAAATGAACAGTCCTTTCCATTAGGTTAGCACATGGAGCTTCTAAGGAGCAGCCAACTAACGAAAAATGCAAGAGAATAAATCCTTAATATTATTAACCTTTTCACAAGAACATCTAACCATTCAAATTCCACTATGTTAAGTGCTAACTCAGTGAAGAGAGCTTCTGCTCTGAAAATATTGCTGTATGCAAAATAGAACATCTCTACAAAAGGATGATCCCAAGAGTATATAAGAAGTACTGAGAAGGTCAGCTACCACAGTGAAATTAAGTAGAAGCATAAAAAAAATTAAGGATGTCAGCACCTCTTTTTTGTGTACTTTGGTAGTAATTTTCTTAAATTCACAAATATATTCTGTCACCTACACTATTTCCCACATTATCTTCACCTTACCAGTTTAATTAAAAAGAGTACAGAGAAGTTGTTAAGATGCTCAGAGAGAAAATCAGAAAGGCAAATGCCCAGCTTGAACTCAACCTGGCCACTGGGGTTAAAAGGAACAAGAAACCCTTTTACAAATACATCAACAGTAAGAGGAGGACTAAGGAGAATCTTCATGCTTTACTGGATGAGGCTGTGAATGTGACCGCTGAGGATAAGGAAAAGGCAGACGTTCTGAATGCCTTCTTTGCATCTGTCTTTAAAGGTCTCACCAGTTATCCTCAGGGTACTCTACTCTCTGACCTGGTAATCTTAACTGGAGTGCAGACAGAACCCCCTGCGATTCAGGAGGATGCAGTCACAGACCTACTACTCCAGCTGGACTGTCACAAGTCCATGGGGTCCAATGGGATTCACTCGAGAGTGCTGAGGGAACTGGCAGAGATGACAGCTGAGTCACTTGCCATTATCTATCAGCGCTCTTTGTTGGCTGGTGAGATCCCAGAAGACTGGAAGCTTGCCAACGCGACTCCCATCTACAAGAAGGGTTGTGAGGAGGATCCGGGGAACTACAGGCCTATTAGCCTGACCTCGGTGCCAGGGAAGGTTATGGAGCAGATTGTCTTGAGGGAGATCATGCGGCATGTGCGGGACAAGCAGGGGAATCAGGCCTAGCAGCATGGGTTTACAAAGGGCACTTCAGGAAAGAGGTTGAGGTCCTGGAGCGGGTTCAAAGAAGGGCAACAAAACTGGTGTGAGGGGTCTGGAGCACAGGCCTTATGAGGAGCAGCTGCTCTCTAACCTGAAGGGAGGTTGTAGTGAGCTGGGGGTTGGCCTCTTCTCTCATGTAACTGGTGATAGAACTAGAGGGAATGGCTTCAAGCTGCACCAGGGGAGCTTTAGGCTGGACGTTAGGAAATACTACTTCTCTGAAAAAGTGGTTAAGCACTGGAATGGGCTGCCCAGGGAGGTGTGGAGTCACTGACCCTGGAGGTGTTCAAGGAACATTTGGATTTTGTGCTGGGGGACGTGGTTTAGTAAGTACTATTGGTGATGAGTGGATGGTTGGACTGGATGATCTTGAAGGTCTTTTCCAACCTTGGCGATTCTGTATTAAGAATGCTTCTGTTTGTACTTTGGCCATGGTAACTACAATAGCCCAAGTATTCTACATATAGGCACATAAATTCGTGATAACTTAAGGAACAGGTTACTTGCCTCAATACTATGAGTGGAAAAGTCACACACAGACTAATCAAGATTACAAAACTACAGCTATAAAACTTCCTAGTTGCTCCTTCATCTGAAACCCCATGTTGCCTCCACATCTGTTATTAATAGCAAGTACATGATTTTCTTCTCACCAGCAACACAATCTCACAGATCTATATAAATAGGAAACTGAAGTCACTCTACTTTACAAACTGAACAAATAGGATTTTAATACTTTAGCCTTTCTTGAATATTTTGCACTTTCAGATCTAGTAGTAAGTCAGACACTAGGAAATAAAAGCTTCTTATCTGAAAAATGAGGTCCTCAGACTAAGAAAAGTCAAGCACCCTGAGTATTTCACTAGGACCTGGAAAAGAGAGAAGGCAAAGTTAATGGAAGAGCAGCTTATCACTGCTCTGATAGAGCTATGCCTTAAGTATTTCAGGTTGTAGCAGAACACTAAAAAATACTGGTGGTGCTAATTGGCAGATGAAGAATGATAGCATCCTCCGCGGTAAAAAACTGAGTTTCAAGTTTGTAGATGGCTTCACAGAAAACATACCTTAGTAGAAAACATACAGTAATATTATTATAAGCGTTTTATTTAAATAGCTGCAATGTTAAAATTCAAAGTTACTATGAATTTTTAACGAAAAATACTAGTATGTCACAAAAAGAGAAGACAAAAGTATAAAACTTTTGTAACACCTTTGTTATTCTTGGATTAAATTGTGTTTTTTTTAAATAGTAAGAACTTTTTCATATCCAAAAGATTAAACTAAATCCAACAAAGTTTAATTCAGGTCAACTTTGTCTTATTCTGCTTTCTCAGAGAAGTCAAAACACTCTAGCTACACAGAAATGCAGACTTGCCAGGTAGACCTTAAAAAGAAAAAAGATTGGATCTTGGTATAAGCTAGAATAAGTTATTCCATGACTTCAAAGATACCCAAGATGTACACACAACACAAAACCAAGGATGACTCCTACAGTATCACAGAAGAACAGCATAACAGTTTTTAGCGTTGACTAGATCTTTTCCTATTTATTTGACCTTTCTTTCTAGTTGCAGAACTTTAGTGTAAACTAAAACATAATCGCTGGCATTGTTCTTCAGCTAAGAACTTAAACTATACTCATCTCAGAAGAGGTGTGTTCTACTAACACATCTTAACAAGCTGACAAGGCAGAAGGGAGCAGAGATATGAGTGCATTATTGTGCAGATATGAGTACTATTGTGCAGAGTACAGACAAAATACAGATCTCAAAGAGGTAAATCAAGCATCCTTCATCTCTGTTAAAACTGTAGTAATTTCAGTATGAGCGTATTTCTTTTCAACCCACTCACTACATTCTACTGCACTAAGGCAGTCTTACCATCCTCCAGTAAACACATGTAAATACATTCCTTTCAGTTTACTCAGCAAAGAACAACAAGGATGTTTTAGTATTATTAATTTCCTGGTGTTTTTTTCCCCTCCTGTTTTCTGGCACTGAATTCACACATGGCATTCTAGAAAATTCACCATCTGAATCATCTTTCACCATAAAGAAACAAAATGAATTAAGCAGTGTCTGATTATAAAATTTAATCCATTAGTTATCTGACTTGGTGAAAACATAGCTTTCCTTTTTCCCAGGAAACAAGATACTCACAGAAAGATATAATTTACTGGATCCAAATGTTTACAAATGCCTTGAAGAAATGCAAAACCATCACTAGTGTCCATAATTTCTGCATTATTTTCACTTGTTCTAATTCTGCAAGACAAACTGAGGTCTAGCTACACTTGGAGGCAGTTTGCAAGTTTTTCCCCACCTAATGAACAGTGAGAATGCTGTATGCACTGCACACGTTCACACTGAGGAATTTCCCTTCCTCATGTTAATGTCACATTACACTTAGACATGTGGCTCCTTTCATCACAAGTATCCCTGTTCAAAGACCCTTGGGAAAACTGACATACTTCTAGAGCACAGGAGAAGTGAGAGGGGTGTGGTTTTTTTTGTTGTTGTTTTTTTTTTTGTTTTTTTTTTTTGAGGGTTGCAGTGAAATAAGTTCAACTTCTACATTTGCCTATTGACATTCTTATCTATTTCTTGCTCAAAACTGATTCTACTACCAAAACAGCTTGCAGCAGAATCAAGAACTTTCTTTCTGCAAAGTATCTGACACCTAAAGTTGCTCATGTGATTCAGCACATTATGCTCAGTTTTCTCAGCAATAAAAATGCTGCTGAGATGAAGAAATGCAGCAGAAATGGTTTTACTTCATACTAACATTAACATTTTGGCATTTTCATAACCTAACAGACAACATTCTTATCAAAAGCTTTCTCAATCATCACATTACCTACCTCAGTACCAGGAAGTAGCTTCACTGTTTCTTCTTTCCCATAAGGGACCACAGAGAAGTGTTCCATGCCTTCCAAGAATTTACTTACAAACTGAAACAACAACAACAAAAAAAAATCAGTTGGACTGTAGCAAGCTTGTTCTTTTAAAGACACTTGCTTCACAATCATGTCATGGACTGGAGGATCTCTTGCTGCCCTGCATCCAGGTTCTCTTATTTTATAGAAATTAGATTTAATTTTCTTTTTTTCCCCTTTTCTCTCTCTTTCTCCCATCCCTTTCAGACTTCGTCATGCCCTTTTCTGTAGGGTTCTCTATTAAGAGAAGCTTCAATTTTACATAAAATAAGCAAGTTTACTTTCTTCTTGCTTGAAATGAGAAAATTTAGTAAAGAGGAAAGCCATTAAATTAATATGAAAAATGCTATGTTTTAAATTCTGAGTCACATCACCCATAGTAAATCCAATATTCACATGCAGCTATGATGTCATTCCCATACCTGAAATTTGCATATTCCTTCCATATGCATTAGATAATGTTTCAGATAATGTTCACCATGAATAAGAAAACCTTGTTAACATGTTAAGAGCATACTATTTAAAATAGAAATAGACTCGCTGCAAATAGAGACACTGATGTACTGACATTAAACCTCTTTGGATAAAAGAGGGTCCAATTCTGTTCAAGAAAACCAAGATATTTTGCTTATTTTTACAAGACTAAAGTATGTTATAAACTCAAAGAAGCAAA